TGAATATAAGGCGTTAATTGATGTCATAACTTGCGGAATGCGTCATATTTTAACAATTTCAACGTGCTATCGTTTTCAAGACCGGCAATAAAATCACGATGAACTGACTTATAACTCGTTTCGGCTGGCAAAAGTGTAAGCGATTGAGTAATGCGATTAACATTTCTACCAGGACTTGGTAGTCCATAAATTTCAGCATAGTTTTCGAGAAATTTCTTTACGGCGGTGGCAACGGTTATATCAATGGTTATTTTGGTTTTTCATCGCGGCATTCGTTTGATATTACCATGAACACGTGGTATTATACTATTCGTTTCCAAATAATCTCAAAGTGAGTACGACCAATTCCAAACATATTAAGATACGTTTTCTGACAAAGTGGCGTATTGCGGTCCCAATAATAAAAAGTTCGCTTATTAGTACGCGTTTTCTTTTTAAGACAGTTATTTCTCCACCATTCATTGCTTTCAGTTGGCCATTAAAAATACATCTTGTTCGGATCTAGAAAGAGCTTGAAACGCTTCACGTAATTCGGCAAACTTCTCTCTGGGTATCATTTTTGAACAACCACAGTTGCAACTTATCTCCAATAAACGCATTGCTTTTTCATATTCAATTGAACCATTATAATTATAGCTTTCCATATACGGGTAATCCTATATATAAATTTTATTATTACTTCAATTTTGCGCGTGATGATTGTCCAATGCAATTTATTCCAATTGTTGTAGTTCTAGACAACAAACAGTTGAATGCAAAACTGACTAGGAAAAAAAATCTGTAGTCAAGCAAAAAAAGATCATTTTTAGAAAATTCGCCATGACTACTATGCTTTTAGTGAAAACACTGATAAGCCAAATATTCTACAGTATAGTACATCCATCATTGTTATAATATGAAGGGTAATGTTTATAATGCAAATCAGCAAATAACCTTATCAGGAGGTTACCTGCTTGAGTTTTCACATTTCTGCGTTAATCAAGAAATTATAAATTTTTGTTTGTAAATCGGTAGACATAACGGTTGGTATTGGAAAAGTGCAAAGAAAAATAGTAAGGGTTTTGTTATAGAATCACTGAAAGCGACAAACAACCACAACGCAAATATACTGCCCTTTTAAACCGTTCCCCCCGCTCATTTCTACCGCATTTGGGTATGGGAATAGTAGGCTCGGAGAGACATTGCCATGCAAAGGGAATTTCAGTAGACCGGTCAAGAAACGAAATAGCGATAACTTAGGTTTGATATGGTTGAGTAGCGGGCAAAGAAAATTGTGGCCAAAATAAACGGTAATAGTAGGGGGAGGCGGTTGCGTGTTCCTATCGGGTACCTGTCTGTCTACGATGCTTAGATAATTTGTTTCGAATCTTGAGGTCTGTGATCATAGTTTCACAACAATAACATCCTCTACTCTATTACGTTGATTGTCACGTCTTGCTCCATTAAAGCGCCTATTTGTTCAAAGATAACGACATTTGTTGTACCCTGGAGATATTGAGTCTTCCAGTAATTTTTGTTTGCGTGTACATCATTCACTTCGTATCCGTTGAGGTAATCTGCACCGAGAAAATCGTTTCGGATGCAGTTTGTATATCTTGTGGCGTGCGAATCCTCATTTCCTCCATCCCATCGAAACAATGACGGCCTGTTACCGAATGTCGGTAAGTCATCAAACGCTATCCATTTCACTTGTTCCTTCACACTGTAACGTGTTGAAAGCTTAAGTCTCTTTTGTGTGTTTAGAGAGGATATAGTAAATGTCTGTTCACTGTCGAAATGTCTTTTGAGTTCATTCAGTTTTCATTCATCTCATTAAGCACACCAGCCACTTTCTCCGTGCCCGCATCGTCTTGAAATACATAATATGAGCATTACAAATGAAAGTCAACCCCAATAATTCATAAGTGAGAAAACCATATTACTATGTATACTCTGCCCCACGTACACACTACTCTATGTCTCCAACGCCCGAGTCACAAAGTCGTTACCTGGTTGAGCGACTTGAGCAGTCTTCTGCTTTTGCAGTTCTTCTAGAACGCCATACAAAGGCGCGAGGAGGTTCTTCCCCTTCTCAAGCCCAAGTGTCGTTTTAACCTCTTTAATTTCGCCTTTGACTTCTTCGATTTTTCCTCGATGGTTGTCATGGTTGGTTCTACGGAAAGATGTGCTGCGCGATGTGATCTAATATACGCTGATCAGTGGCCGAAAACTTTCATACCAATTAATCTTGTTCAATGTTTGCTGAATATGATGTTGTTGTTAAATGCCTTCTGGTTATTAATAAATACAGATTCTATAAATTGCTTAATTCATGTTAACGATTATGGAAAGAAAGAGGAGCGATAGACGTGGATGACATTCTTTTTCTTAGACAAGCATGCAAACAAACATGAAAGTTTTTTCCTTTATAACTACAATCATTCCCCCATAAGCACACTCTTATCCTATATTAATTATTTTTGTTCTGCCCTCCCGCTATCACAAGGAATCTTTAAATGTTTTTACCTTTATTCAATCGCTTAATCCCATCAAATACCAAGCTCAGGGTACCTTGCCAATTATTTATTTCGTCTTCATCGAGAACGTAATTAATTTGTTCAGCTGCTTCATCTTGAATACCAAATAAATGTAGTTTATGCGGGCTAAGATGATAACTTTTGACTCTTGTCATAGTTATCTGATGTAACAAATTTTTTGATAGGGATACTTTACACAGATATACGTCCCTCAAAGTACCCCCTGATGAAGTACCCCGGGTATTATTATTATACAAAAATAGGGAAAGGCTAAAGCGGAGCAGAACGTGATCCTGTATTTGCAGTTTCATTGGCTGCCATACAAATTTGACCAATGGAATTGCGAGGGATCTGCTCTGCTTTAGACATGCCCCCAAAATAGTAAAATACCCAGGGTATTTTAGTCAAAGCAACATGGTAGTTGCTTCCATTAGTATCTTTTGCGTTCGATGGCTGGAAAACCACCTTAGATCCCAAGAATCTCTCTCTTTTATTAATACTTAAGTTTCGTCAAATGAATGATTTTACCTATGATGCACATGAAGAAAACTTTGCGACATCCAAATTTCTGACTGATCTAGCCCAAACTATCACTGACACAGAATGGGTTTCCGCCATCAACCTTGTGACAGTAAAGGCAAGTATGAGTTAATTCATATTGTTATGGCAAGAAGAGCAAGGAGTGGATAGGAAGGAGTCAGGCTATGTGTCGATGCAATCACCTAAGCAGCCTGGGTACATCTCAAGCTGTTATGGGGTACATCTCCGGTGGGCTCCCTCTAAGTTATGTTCTCCTACCAGGCATCTGGGCTACGTGTTAGGTTGTTTTGGGGTATGTCTCTGGTAGGGCTCCTCCAAGCTCAGTTCTCTTTTTCACAATGAATGAAGCAAGAAGAAAAGACGTAAACCAGTTTTGGACAGACATCAATGAGAAAATTGACAACAAAACGAAATTGGCGTCATATTTGTCATTGTTGTATTCATGACATGAAAGCTGGTAAAACTTTACGCTGGCTTTGCAGGCCCAATTTTCTGTAGATAGATTTATGATTGGTAACAAGGCACATAACCTTCAAGATAAGACTATCTATCAGGAAAAATGATGACAAGGAGGTGGATAACAATGAAGACATGTTAATATCCAACAAGGTAGCAAATAATTAGTTATCTGCATTTGCATATAATTGAGTATTTATCCATTTTTCCCACTGAAATCCAGATTATTATCATGGTTATTTAGGGGGGGTTTTTCTTTTTGGAATATGCTGATAATTTCCAATTCAAGTCAAAGACAACCAATGATAAACATGTATGTATGTCTTGGCAGTGCTTATAAAAAATCTGAATGTGATACCTAAGTGTGATATGTTTGTCTTGTCCATATATTGTGCTTGCAAGCTTGGTGTGAGCTTGGTATTGTATTATAGACAGTCAAAATCACTTGTACTTGGTAAAGATGTTATGTCAGTCTTACCTTTACTTTTGTGTGTCCTTTATTAAGCATGCCAGTCTTACCTTTAACGTTATGTAATCTGAAAATTTCTTCTTTTACATAACGTTATCACATAGTAATAGTAATAGTCAGATTTTTTAATTATTCTGTACTATGTGCAGTTCACTGATTTAGACAGTCAAGGTAAACTAGAAACTACTGAAAAAGGATATCTCATTAAGTAGAACAATTAGAGACTACTTGAAATGCTAGTCTTCCTACTTATAGCACTTGAAAAGAATTGGGTAATAGTTTTCAAGAAATATTAGACAATTGAGAAAAAAATGAAGGAAGAAAACCTAACTGGTACAATTTATTTCAATTTACTAAAGCATGAATTAAATAATGCTAAGCAAACAATTGGTCTTAGTCAAGAAGAAGAAACAGAATTATTAATATTTAACTGAACCGGAATTAAAAAGTGAAAAAATTATGGTGATAAAAACTCTTTCAAAAAGATGAATTATAACTAAAAAAAATTGCTGATATTCTGCTCAATTTAGAAGATAAACCTACTTTTTTCAATAAACTGAAAGAGTGTCTCAAAGATAAAAAAACACAATGTCATTTGGGGGGTTTTGGGACAAAAATTTTTACAATTTAGGGCTTAATTTCTCAATTTTCTAATAAATTCTAACCTCTAATATTTTGCGATTTAGGCGTTAACTCCTAAATAATAATGAAATTGACGACATATTTGCAGTTTCATCATTATCAGAGAGTATAAAACGCTCCAAATACAGGAAATATGTCTAACCTTTAACTTTAGGGATTTATAATTTCCAATTAACGATAAATTTGTGGCGGGGCCGTAACTCCACTCCAAAGTGGAGTGGCTACGCCCCCGCCACACGGCCGCACATTAACGATATATTCCATTTACAGTGTCATTTTGGTGCCATACGGATGGGATGGTTAGATCCATAAATATAAAGTCGCAATTGTTATTTGTTATAGTTGTATGAACTTGTTATACTGGTATATGCATTACTCGATTAGAACGAAATCTAAAGAGCCAATGCCAACGACAAGTTTTGATGTACAAAAATAGACGAAGTTGCTGGAGATTTGGATAAGAAAATCATTATAAGTGAAGCCGGCGTGGCCAAAACGTTTACGTAATAAATCAATATGATTAACCAATTTATCAACCGCAAAATCAATAACCACAAGATGCAACTCAATATTTTTATTTGCGAGTTTCGTCGCCGTGTTTGTGGTCTATATGATTACTTATCAAGCATGCCGAAACTTGAAAAAGATATTTCAATATTAAAAAATAAAACCGTCCAAATGCATAATGAAGCGGAATGGAGAAGTGAAGCCCAAAGTAAAGGTTTGTAAACTATTTCGTGAGAATGATACACAGTGCTAAGACACGTAAAATTATATATTATTATATTTGTTTCAGAGTTAAACTCATTGCTTTATAATCCGAATTTTCTAGGGTAAGCATCCGTACAAAGTTACGGATCTGAATATTCTACCGAAATTAAAACCCTCTGGATTGAATTTACTGCCTTGAAAAAGGAGAAACGCCCACTTGCACAAATGTACAATGTCTTGTCCGGAAAAATAGGTCTCAGTCTAACAACGGTTGCAAGTTTCTATCGGCATCAAAAATGGCCGCAGAGAACATTGTTAGACAAAAACGGAATTAAAAGGGATAATTCTTGTAGAATCTATTTTTGAGTAACGTGATGTGCAAAGACGCGTTTTCCCCTTCGTCTTTTGTCTGGCATGGGTTCCCGATCTATTTGCCAAGCTGGACCCAACGCATTCGGTTGATTCGGCGCTTCAATACGAAGGAGTATCACATGTTTGTGTAAGTAAGACATATAAACAGGGCGGCGCAGAGCTAGATCGCGACTCTTCTTTTGAAACAAGTTGAAATGAATACTATGGACGCGGATTACTCACTGGGACTCATTCGTTTTTCTGTGAAGTATGGGCAAGACTTTCCAACAGCAACTGACAAGGAGATTGAAGAAGCGTACAACAAGTATAAAGACTTCTACGTCCAGTACCATCAGAACCACCCCACGGCAGTCACAGACTGTTATAATGAATATCTGGGCCAGCAAGGTGAGCAACACACGTTTATGGGGAGAAGAGTTTGAATACTGTTACTGGTTTTGTGCTACATTGCAAGAGAGAGAGGCAGTTGGGCGTTATTAGTTGGGGCAGAGCTGCGTCGTAGAGACATTACGGTAGTAATGGAGAGAGAATATTTGGAATGCATACGACATGCGTTGGGAGGAGTGTAGAATAGAGCTTAGTAATGGGCAGAGCGGGATACATGGAGAGAATAGTTATAGTTTGAATGCATTATGACATGTGTTGGGAGTTGGGACATAGAGCAGAGTCGTAGCAACGGTTAGGTTATACGCAAACTCGTTTCAAAGGCAAGATACGAGACGTTTCGGTTAAGTAGAGGAGCGGAGAGAATAGACGATATCAAGGCGCATTATGTCAGTTTTTTAATTGCCGCGATACAACAAGCCAGCAAGATCATTACGGAAAATAATATGAACCCCTGCTGAATGGTTTCGTTATCACGTAGAAAATCCGAATGGCTCACAGATGGTAGAATTCTGGAACGAGGTGAGGGAAGACATGAAAAAAGTTGTGACTGACATGGAGAATGATGGCGAACAAGATTCAAGTGCGCACAAGGATGCCACATGCGTATTTTTTGACAGTGTTTGCGTAAGTGTGCAGCGACATTTCAGGGAAAGTCAATTTCCGGAAGACAGCGGGCCAGTTTGATTTTCGTCTTTGATGAAGCTCGCACAATGATTTCTCCCGAGTTCAATTACTTCGTGCATTTTCGCCGCGCTTTGCGGTGTATTTCTGAAGAGGAGTATGTTTTCGTCCTCGTCTTGAACACTACCTCAAGAATAACAAACTTCATGCCTCTCAAGGAATTTGATCCGTCAGATCGTATACTTCTAACCAAGAAAAATTACTCACTCCTTACGTTCTTGTCAGTGGATTTGATCTTCTCATAACAACAGCATATCAGCAACTGTGCAACAAATGGCTTGATGACATACCCTCAGACTGGAATGGGGTACCTGTGACACTTGAAGATATCAACCATCCCTTTTGGCTGGCATGTCTTGGACAGTCTCTTCATGGATCTTTCCTGCAAGCTACTAAAGAAAATTGGGTTGTTTCATTCCATGCTTTAATGAATATGTTGAAAAGCAAACTGCTAGGTTCAGCTTCTTCTACATATCTTATGGATCAGAAAAGGCTTTCCACAACTACAGCATTAGCAGTCCTAGGCCTGCAGTTGTGCATTGATGTGGTACTGTCCTCCTCTCTTTCTTCTGAACTTGTTGCATCAAGAATGGCTGTGTGCACACATATCTCAGAACAGCGAGACATGGTCTACATGTGCTACCCATCAGAACCACTCCTTGCAGAAGTGTCAGCACAACTCATGAATGAGACTGGAGCAATGCAGATGCTTTTGCCTCCACTTCTTTCTGCAGTGCATTATGGTTTGGTTGAGGGTGGCTATCAAGGTGAGTTGGTGGCATGTTGTATCCTGCTGATGGCATGGGATGAAACATGCAAGAAACAGACAGGTTATAAAGAAGCAGACATGCAATTTTCCCAGCCTCTCAGGGTGTGGGATTATCTGATGACTCTTCTTGGGAAAGATGGCATGAATCAAATAGGAGGGATCAACCAGAGAGAACGCACTCGTTTCCTCAATTGATTCATTTTCTTTAACCACTTTCTTTTGTTGCAGTCACACTCCAAGCAAAATGCAGCTTTTGCAGTTAATGAGGTGAGGTTATTAAGTTACCCAAAAGATATGTAACAATGGATGAGTCAATTTGATTAAAATTAGTGTGAACTTTATGAATGAAAGCCTAAAAATATGACAGAAATGAATATTCCACAAATAACTTTAAATTTAATATTGATCATATGAAGCAGTAGAGTTTATATTATATGTATTATAATAAAATTTTACTATTCAAGATTTACGCGGTTAAAATGTACAGTCCCCCCGAAAAGTAATGGCGGGGTGTTTTTTTATTATAAAAAACGGTTTTACATAATAATTGGTTTCCA